GACCTTATTCAGTTCATCACTCCCTTTGGACTTATAAGCACCCCAGTTTTCCAGAGTTCCTGAATCTATGTTAATGCCACCATTCTTCAAAAGTCAAGTTACGTTCAATCAAATTAACATTTGTTGGGCAATTACTCTGAGCTGAACATTTTAGTCGTTTTTGTAAAAGCTTTGCTGTTTGAAGGAACCTCAGCTTCTCGTTAAAGACTTCAAATGTAGCCTAAGCTCACCTAAGCCTTCCTTTCTTCGATCACTTATAGCACAGATCGTCCAAGTCACAATATGTTCCTGTTGTTCTTTTATTATTTTATATGGCTTGTTCCCCAGTCAGAGTTTACGCTTTTGTATTTCCCATTGCATTTATCTAATGAGCCCTTGTAATTTTAACAATGGATTCAGAATATGAGTAAATAAAAACAGATGCTTTAGACTGAATGAACTTTCCAGATTGCAATCCAAACCAAAACATTGAATGTTCATTTGCAAGAAGTTGTGGTTCAAGTGAAATGCAACATGAGAGGCTGATACAGCAATTTCTCCCAGGTTGGGGAATTGATACAATCTGGAAGGAGATGCTGCCCTCCACCATATGGAGAGAAAAGGAAAGAGGAGTCAGCAGAGGGTGAAAATCGACTCATGACAAACAAATCTAAGAAAATCCAAACTTATAGCTGGATCTGAGATTATCTATGCCAATGACGCATTCCATTCACAAGGTTAATCAAAGTTTAACTGTAGGTTATTTTCATATTTTTTAATAGAAAATTAATTAGCCCTTTTAGATCCCCTTGGAGGTCCCATGGCAGATTCACTAGGCAAACTGACACACGCAAGGCGAAGCCAACTTCTTTAAACCATCCAGTTTTTCTTCAATGGGTTCTATAAAAAACTGGTTTTCGAGGGTAGGAAGTGAAGAAATGCTAGAAATAAGTAGTTTAAGTATCACTAGCCTAGTCTCAAATTATTTTAATGCTTGTAGTATACAAATTTAGATTCTTTTCCCGAAAGTGAGGTCATTAAAAAAAACCCAGAGTCTGTAATCAATATATAATCTCAAAAAGTCCATGAGTAAAATCTATTATCTAACATATTCTTTCTGAAGTTGAACCTTCTGTAATTAAGGACAAACACTCTGATAGTTTAAAATATTCAAATTTCATACTTATACCTAGCATTATTTCTATATATCCAAAGCCCACAAATAAAATTTTGAAAATTCCTACTCAAACTACTTAGTCACACCATTTGTGTACTTTTGACCTTTTATTATATTGGTGATATGAGTTGGTTTTACAGAGTTATATAGCAATGTTGCTCTTTTCCTGCAGGCAGAATTCACAGCCATGAGGGAGCAGTACATGCGAGGTGGTGAGGGCTTCATCATCTGCTACTCCATCACTGACCGCCAATCCTTCCAGGAGGCTGCCAAGTTTAAAGAGCTCATTTTTCAGGTCCGCCACACCTACAAAATTCCTCTGGTGCTGGTGGGCAACAAAATTGACCTGGAACACTTCCGCCAGGTAAGTTCCAATTTTATGTGTTAGTTTCTATCTTTTCTTCTGAGCATACATAGTACCAAGGATGTCTATTTTCCAAGGTTCATATTGAGAATTATGAGAAAGAAATAATACACATGATTTTTGAAGAAATCTTTGTGGGCACATGGTAGATTGTATCTCCAAAGTTGGCTACCACAATATCTCCTATCTCACATTCTATTTTGCTGTGTCCTTACCTGTGATGGTTAAGGTTGTGTGTCAACTTGGCTGGGCCATGATTCTCAGGGATTTTGTAGTCATATGATGTTGTGATCACTTCCATGATGAGATTTGATATAATGTGATCACCTCCGTGATGAGATCTCTTGTAAGTAGCTAAGCAGTAGTGAAGAAATTTCCTTGTGCTTGTCACCTGCATCGAATATAAGTGGACATTCTGGCAAAGTTCATGGGCTTTTGCTTGTTCTGGATCCTGCAGCTGGCTCCTACTTGTCTGACCTCTGGTTCTTGGGACTTGAGCTAGCAGCTTACCTGCGGTCTTGCCTGCCGATCTTGGGATTCATCAATTTTCGCAGCCTGTGAACAAGAGCCCTACTCTCTGACTTGCCAATCTTGGGTTCACCCACCCCTGTGGCTGCATAAATCAGGAGAAGCCTCTATCCTGACTCAGGGACTTGGGATCTTCCAGCCTCTACAACCTTGCGGGCCATTTCCTTGATATAAATCTCTCTCTCTGTTTATATAGGGTGTGGTAGAAGTGATGCTGTGTAACTTCTGAGATTGGACCTTAAGAGTTCTGCACCTTCTACCTCTGCCAACTGAAATGCTTGTTCCTAGTGTCCAGCCACCATGTAAAGAAGCCCAAGCTAAAGATGTGGAGAAAACCAAGTGCACAAAGCTGGAGAATGTTCCCAGCCTCACACCTACCTGTCCCCACCAAGGCACCACACCCATGATCGAAGCCATGTTGGATGCTCTTGCACCAGCTACCATCTAATTGTAACCTCATATGACACCCTAACCAATGCCACATAGGACAGAAGAATCTCCGAGCTTAGCTCTG